TTATCTACACAGGACAAGGAAAGAAGAAGGGTTAAAAACCTGCCATCTCATTTGGAATAAAGAATAAGAGAAACAACCGAGTACCTTGACATTGAAGGATGTCGACTAATGACTTCCCCACTTTCCCAAAACGTACTCCAAGTTTAACTGAAAAAGACAGTGTATTATGTCAGAATGAAAGAATCTGAAGGCCTTAGTTTAGGAAACATTGCAACATACAAGGAAATTAGTTGAAAGTAAACTAATGAAAGTCTAAACAGAAATTTAAGAAAATGTGCAAATTTATATTAAAACGCCAAACTTTATTATTCAAGATTTGGGAACGGGATCAGAATTCTTTCCTACAGATTTGAGATACATGTTCTCAAGTCTCAACAACAAAAACAAGTAAATGCTGCCAAGGTTGATATGGGTCATCCAAGACCCTAGGTAGTTAGGTTTTTCACATAGTCCTCAAGTTCACTTCGGCGATAAGCATGGTCAATCCTAGCTTTCTCCAAGTCTTCACCTTCAAGATAGGTAATCAAGGCATAAACCTTGGTTCTTGGAGAATTTTCACGAAATTCCAGACTGTGTTACCAACATTGCATAATTTATATCTGAGGGAGGCTTTTCCATGGTTTTGGATTGACTATCACAGGGAGACTATACGCTTGACATATTAGTCCTTTGGTGACACTTGTGCCTTTCCTTGGAAACAGAGTTCTCCTGAGTTTCAATAGCAGAAATAAAGATTCTAATCAGGTATGAGAGGAATTCCCAATTTGGTGCTACTCAGGAGGCAATTGTTACTTCTTCATTATTGATGTCTTTGTTGAAGACTTCTTCTCATTTTTACTTTTGTTTTAGTGCATATCCAAGAGATCCTGCATTAGACAATGATGAAAACTATGCATTCAACTTATAAGAAGACAAATGTACTTCACGCTAACATGATTTCAAAAGGAAAATGTTAATGAGTAACTTACTCGGCAAGTCTCTCATTCTCTCAATTTGCTCCGAAATTTTCGCCTTCAAAAGATACGTGAATTTGAAAAGAAACATAAATTGAGGTCATATGCATCTATCCAATGCCAAAATTATCCACCTTTACATCAATGGAAAAACTATTGGTCCTTTCTAATCTAAGGTTGCCTCAACAACATGCTGCAAATCACTAATGGGCTCTATATTCGGGATTCCGTAAAACGTAAAACACATAAAGAAAAGTCTGTTACAAGAAGAACAGACAACAGACAATAGAAGAAACTTCAATGGAAACAGGGAAGGCATGGACACAGCAGTATAAAACATCCACAAAAATGGAATATTAAAATAAGTTGTCCACCCAATAGCATTCATTGAGTCCCATGATGATTGACAATTGAATACATAACCATAGACTAAAGTGAACATATGTACCAGACTAGAGCTGCTTATAGACCAACGTCAAAACAAGAAGTACATAAGCTGGGCCTTCACATCCAAACAGAAATGGGTTAGTAACTCACATCAACTGCCCAGTTAGGTTGTTCAACATTGATGTCATGTATTGTACACTTTTTTGATATAGGATACGGCCTCAGTGTTCTGTGCAAGAATAAAAAGCAGTTAGCATTTAAAGACAATATATATAGCTGAAGCTAAGTAATAAGCACAGAAGATTAGTACATTTGAGAAAACACATCCAGATTTTGAGTCATTTGTTGTTCTCATGGACCTTATAAAAATGAAGAAGAAAACAAAAAATATCAATGAGGCACATAAAAAAATTATCACCAAGAAACAGAGAAAGTTACTGCTCCCTACATATCAGGATCAAAATGTTAAAGCCGGAGGGATTTATTAGCATCACCAGAGAAGATAAAAAGTGTCTATAACCAACATATCAACTCTTATTGTAGAAGTATTAACAACTGCTAAGAAAGATGGCCGAACCTAGAGTTCACCTTATTAACTAGTAAGAAAGACTCGACAATCCTTGATAGTGCCCAGCCATTTTTCTTTTAAAAAAACTCAGCTCTCGAAAATGCATAAATCTGCTCCTCCATAGCTTATTGAAAACATGTTGTCTCAGGATTATTGTTTGAAAACAGTTTCTGACAAATGCAATCCAGGTGATTTTCAATCCATTACCTCTTGAAATCTTATGAATAATACATTTAATGAGCCCTAACAGACAAATACAACCTGAATTGTCATTCAATCACTTAATATACAAAAGAAAGGGCACTCATCTATAGTTTATTTTGCATTTTTTCCCTTTTATGGCAAAATACTATGTTAGAAACCAAAAAAAAAAAAAAAATTGATATAAGAACATGGAAGTGCACCCTGTGTCATAGCATTAGGAGTTAGTAAAATCTAACATCCATACAGATGTCCATGTTTATTTAACCATGTACCACTCGATATAAATAGGCCTTGGGAGCTAGAAATATCAATCCAGCAACCTAAACTTGAATCATGTGTCAAGCACACAATCTCTGGTGAAGCAAGTATTGATCAAAATTGTAAAACATAATGTCACAAGAACAAAATAGAATATATGTGTAAGAATAAAAATACAAAAAGGAAACAAGAGAACTACCCTGTCCAATCAAAATGCAGAACTTTTGGAGTTTGAGCCTACCCTTTCCTCAAGCAATACAACCAACCATCACGCAGTAAGGCTGAATTTTGTTCACCACCGCTGTCTGGTGTAAGTGAGGAGCCAGGAATTTTCATTAGGGTGGGCACTACAATTATATACTCCATTTATTATTTTTCCTCTTAACCGATCACAATAAAATGATACATTTGCATTTATCATATTATATTTGATACATCAAGGTTGTTCAATATAAAAGGGTCAAATAATGCATATTGTGCATGTATACACAAATGACTAAGTATCACCATTGTAAAAATGTGAGTTTAATTGATATTGTGTAATTCAAAAACTAACAGCCATCTACTGATCATCCATTACATTTATTCGATAAATTTTTTTCCAAATATTATCACTAAACTGAAACTTAAGAACCAAACATAGTAAAAATTATAAAATTAAATTGAAACATAATAAACACTACAATCAACTGTCAAACAAAAATAGAGATGAGTTGTCACAGGAAAATAAAAAGTCAATTAAATGTCAATTGCAAGTATTATCACATTCAAATTAACAAAATAAAATTTATGCTCATTAACTAAGACACTCAAACCACCAAGAAAAAATCCTACCCATCCTATACAACACATTTTCTTTATGTTCGTTAACTATAGCAATATAGCTTTAAAGGCTACAATTCCCAGGAACTTTAACTAAAACAGTAATTCAGCAAAATCACATATGGTGTGGAGAGAAAAAATTGGATGGACAGATGTGTGTTGCGTTTGGGTTGGATTTAAGAGAGGTGCCTAAAACAGCATGTTCCCAACTGCATTATAGATCATGTCATAACCTTCAAGATCAACACATACCAATTGGTATTGTTTTCTCCAAGCCCTCATAACTACATTGAACCAGCAGTCGAGATGTTTCATCAGTGCCCCCCCACAAAAAATGTTTCATTACGATCACCAGCATAAGGACAAGTCTGTCAACTGTGAAAAACATAGTATATGAATGATGCGATGAAACAATGATAGAGGTATAATCATTCTTACCATGGACAATTTTATAGTACACGACTACATCGACATTTAAAATATCACCATCTTCTAATTTCCAGAAATGGTTAATAATTCATATTCAATCCAATAGCATCACTCAAATTCAACATAAGTTTATAGGTTAGCAAAAGGTATCCCTCGTGGGTTAATCATAAGGAATTAAATCTTGAAAATTTCTAACTGAATGAAATAAAGTTAGCCCTATCTATTTGAACCTGTCTTCATGGAGGAACATCAAAATTTTAAGAAGCGTGGTCAATCCTAGTTTTCTCCAAGTCTTCACCTTGAAGATAGGTAATCAAGGCATAAACCTCATTTCTTGGGAAATTTTCACGAAATCCCCAACTAGTTTATCAACATTGCATAATTTATAGCCGAGGGAGGCTTTACATGGTTTTGGATTAACCATGATAAGGAGACTATGTGCTTGACATATTAGTCCTTTGGTGAGACTCGTGCCTTTCCTCCGAAATAGAGTTCCAACAGCAATATTAAGATTCAAATCAGCTGCGAGAGAAATTTTCAATTTGGTGCAATTTTGGAGGGAATTGTTACTTCTTCATTGTTGGTGTCTTTGTTAAAGGCTTCTTCTCATTTCTACTTTTGTTTTAGTGCATATCCAAGAGATCCTAGATTAGAAAATGATGAAAACTATGCATGCAACTTACAAGAAGACAAATGCATTTCACGCTAACATGATTTCAAAAGGAAAATGTTAATGAGAGTAACTTACTCGGCAAGTCTCTATCATGCTCTCAATTTGCTCCGAAGTTTTCACCTTCAAAAGATACGTGAATTTGAAAAGCAACATAAATTGAGGTCATATCCATCTATCCAATGCCAAAACTATCCACCTTTATATCAATGGAAGAACTATCCTTTCTGATCTAAGTTTACCTCAACAATTATCCTTTTTGAACTGTCATTGTATTCTATTTTTATTACTTAGCTAAGTAATAAGCATAGAATACTATGTTAGAAAAAAAAATAGATACACAAACAATAGGTACATGCCCTGTGTTATAGATTGAGGAGTTAGTAAAATCTAGCATCCATACACACGTCCAAGTAGATTTAACCATGTACCACTCGATATAAATAGGCCTTGGGAGTTAGAAATATCAATCCGGTATCCTAAACTTGAATCATGTCTCTTGCACAAGCTCTGGTGAAGCAAGTATTGATAAAAATTGCAAAACATAATGACAAAGGAACAAAGTAGAATATAAAATCTAAGAATAAAAATACAAGAAGAAAAAAAGAGCAATACCCTGTCAATCAAAATGCGATGAAGTTTTGGAGTTTGAGCCTGCCCTTTACTCGAGCAATATAACCAACCAACAACCAGTAAGGCTGAATTTTGTTCACCAAGGGTAGCCAGTGCAAGTGAGGACAACTTTACCTTCAAATGGACTGATTTGTGAGAGCTCCAGGATGCCTTGAAGCAGTCGTGAGCGCTGGTAAAAGATAAAACTTATTAAAACCAAAGGAGTAAACTACAGCCAAAAAATTGTTAGAAATGGGAAGTTCAGATGACAGCATGTTTAGGTCAAGGCTTAAGTTTTCTTTTTCAGGATTACATTTGACTCATCAGACTAAAACGCAACAAAATCATCAATGATGAGCATTCAGAGCAAATACTCATCAGGGTTACTTGTTTCTTACCTTCATTTGAGCTTTCAGTGGAGGTAAGGAATGCAGGGTTTGAAGAACAGATAAGTTTCTTCGGTGACCTTGTCTTAGTCTCCAATTATGAAGCACTAGGAAACCTTCCACCATAACGCCTTCCACACAAAACTACCAAGCATAAAATAAAATTCAAGGTGGGTCTAAACAACACCAGACACATGCACCCCACACAACACATTCCAAGACATTAGACAAAAACTGTTGTTTATAACTAAGGAAGCAACAATTTATCAGAATTTACAAAGGGCACACACAATTCAATTAGTTTATTTGCTTGTAGAATACCTGCAAATATCACAGCAAGAACCAATAGTGGATTAGGAGATGATTGTGGTACTCACAAAAGGGTAAAAATTAAAAGTAGTGTTATGGCAAGTGTTAATGGTTTTTCTCTTTTTTCTCAAGTTCACAAGCATTATTACAGTGATATATACCACCCAACAGATTTCTCATTCCGTCTTATCAATTAAATGCAATTCTTATATTGGGAAGGAGAGTATGTATTTGTTTGTTANGGAAGTAGCAGAATTGCTAACTGTTGGGATTTAACACGATTTAAATTCACTAACAAACACACACAATCGAAGAACAAATCAAGAATATGAAGCAATAAGAAACAAGAAAGAACAAGACACAGATTTTACGTGGTTCGGCAATTTGCCTACGTCCACGAAGCTGCAGGGATTTCACTATTGAGAGAGTTGAATACAGAGAGCGGCTGTNTTCTCAATATATGAAAAAAAAGTACAAAATGGTGAATAAGACATCCACCAAATGAAAAGGGAAAAAAGATAATGCAATGAAGGTCTTATGATTACCAATGAGAAATGACATTCCAATTCCGGTGTAATAATGAGAGGGGGAAATCACAGAACTCCTTTGCTAGAAGAAGTGAAGATTTATGGCCACTAGTCCAACTACCACGCAAAAATAAATCCATCCTTAATTCATCATGCTAGANAGGCGTTGCCCCCGAACCCCCACGAGGCTCACACAACATTACTTCAGATCGGGTCATCATCCGGATCACATATACAAACTAGACTCCATAAAAAAAAACCAACAATTCTCCCACTTGGAGACTAGTTCAAACACCAACATCAAACTGCAATCCTTCCAAAACACAATCTCTCATCCCCCCCNAAAAAACCAACACTAACTGAATAAGCAATCCCGAGGCATTATTCTTTATCCTCCTTACCACATAAAGGGTAAAAGGGTGCCGAGGTGAAGAAGATTGCTGGTTTAAGATGAAGTAGACCGCTGTGGTAGAGATACAATGGGATACAGGCATAGACCTTTGCCATGAGAAACAAGAGTTTGAAAGCTGGCATTGCCACCAAAGGGGGATAAAAAGTAGCAAGTCCCTTGGGCTGGATATTAGTAATCCACTAATAGTAATGACTGAAGCACAAGTCTTGGATGATCTGCCAAATAAAACACAGTAATCCAAACAAGATTGCACAAACTTCGATCATTTGGAAAGGGAGAGAAGAAAATAATGAATGCTGAGACACGGATGTATACTAGCTGTTGTTATCATTCCACGATAGATCTTGTAAAGCTGCACATGAGAAGAGCCCAGTCATAGGTTTGAGTGGCTGCACTATTATGTATCCAAGAATCAATTTCCTTAACAAAAACCTGCATTCAACCATAATAACGAGAAAAACATAACATTTAAAAAGAGAAAGATATAGTGGTTTTTCAGCTGAGGCGTGAAAATCCATGTATACATCTACTTTTCAACCTTATAACTGTCAACCATAAATTTTACTTCTTTTTCCTTGTTACATTTTGACTTCATTCAATCAATTAAACATAAAGGCTTCGTTTGTTTCAATAGACACCAAATAAGGAAATGACTTTTGTTAGGGGTAGAAATCGCGCGCTCGGATCTCATCCCTGAACACTAAGAATTCTGGCTGGCCTGTAGCCTTTACCTCTATCCCACATCGGGTAAGAGTAAGTGGCTAGTGGGTACCTCCTCCATAAGAAGTGTTCACTTATATGGCAGGAGGGAGACAACTCCTACCCGATGTGAGATGGAGGTAAAGGATACTGTATTACCTTAGGAAAGAGTGGTTGACCAGCCAGAATCCTTGGTATTCAGGGATGAAATCCGAGCGCGCGATTTCTACCCCTAACATAAAAGGCGTCTTTTATGTAAGGGGTAGAAATATCTACGGATCTCATCCCTCCACTTGAAGGATTCGGGCTGACCTGGCAGCACCGAGCTCCAGTAGTCTTTACCTCTCTTCGCCAATAGGACCCTTTCCTAAGGCAATCCCACATCAGAAGAGAGTCGTCTCCCCCCTGCCATATAAGTGAACACTTCCTATGGAGGAGGTACCCACTAGCCACTTGATAGGGTAGAAATCGCACGTTCGGATCTCATCCCTAAACACCAAGGATTCTGGCTGGCCTGTACCCTTTCCTAAGGCAATACAGTAGCCTTTATCTCTCAGTGCCCGTATGGTGCTTCGTCCCACATCGACTGAGAGTCGTCTCCCCCACCCCCTTATAGGCCTGAGCCCCTTAGGGATGGGTACCCACTAAGGCAATACAGTAGCCTTTATCTCTCAGTGCCCGTATGGTGCTTGCCTAGTGGATACCCATCCCTAAGGGGCTCAGGCCTATAAGGGGGTGGGGGAGACAACTCTTAGTCGATGTGGGACGAAGCTCCACACGGGCACTGAGAGATAAAGACTACTGTATTGCCTTAGGAAAGGGTGCAGGCCAGCCAAAATCCTTGGTGTTCAGGAATGAGATCCGAACGCGCGATTCCTACCCCTAACATAAAAGGCGCCTTTTATGTTAGGGGTAGAAATCGCTACAGGAAATGCTAGTGAGTACCTCTTCCATAGGAAGTGTTCACTTATACGGCAGGGGGGGAGGCGACTCTCTTCCGATGTGGGATTGCCTTAGGAAAGGGTCCTATTGGCGAAGAGAGGTAAAGACTACTGGGGCTTGGTGCCGTCAGGTCAGCCGGAATCCTTCAAGTGGAGGGATGAGATCCGTAGCAATTTCTACCCCTTACAACTTTTAGCCTCAGCCATTGGTATTGCCAGCATATTACCATGAATAAATGTTAATCACCCTGTATAAAAGACTTACACTATCATCCATCTAACAAGAAGGAAGTTATTTTTATACATTAATGTGAAATTTAGAAACGTAATTGACTAAGCACCTATACATTTTAATTTAGCAAGGCAAAGCAATCATGGCATTCTAACTCCATTAAGAATCAAATTTTCCAAAAATAAAACAAGTACAATAAAAACATCTAGGCAGAACTTTTGATTACTTTGCCCAGATGCCTAACCTGGTAAAAAATAATAATAGAATTTTCTGAATTAACAATGATTATAAGCTAACCACCTTGGACCTACAACTTTTGGACCATTACAAATATTGACCCCAACCTGTTCCTTGTCCTCCAAACTGAGGAAAGGGATAGGTGAGAACACTGTCCTCAACAGTAAGTGTATATCAATGCAGTGTATCTGCCACAAGGGAGAGTAATAGTAAGCCATCAAATTTCTTGCCGCAGCAGAAACCTTATCCAAATAAAGTACAGAACTTAGTACTTTAAACACTGCTTCCAATACACTATAAATCATTAATGCTTATTGCTTCATATGTACAGATCTCAAGTACATATACATCCTTTCTACATTACAAGGAAGAGTAGCAAAATTTCATTACCTATCCCTGTCATCTATGATATTAGTTACCGCTAAAATTAATTAATGAGAATAGAGAAGAGAGAGTGAAATATATTATTAGACTAAAAGCAAGTCTGTAATGCAAATCTTAAACCTAGAAATACACAAAGAAAGTCTTATATAATAGGGCAACACAACATAAAGAAAATACCTAAACTACCCTTAGTATTAATACTCTAACAATTACAACATTTGTTAATGCAATATGGTGTTCAAGATATAATTCTTACCCAAAATATAATGAATCTGACAGCTGATAGTTTATTATAATCAGGTGGACATATAAAAAAAGTTGGAGCTTACTTGTATTTCAAGACCCAGAGCTACAATCTGGTGACTACATCTGACCATTAACACTGCCGACTGGAACCTGAGGGCCTGCACATAAAAGTTAAAACTTAGAGAGTAAAATCAACTAGCTGTGGGAGAGTTGATGGCATACCCCGATTGAAACTCCATAGAACCGTCTCTGCCACACCCACCCAAATGACAACGCTTTTGATCAAGGCTTAACTTGTTGGTCTCATCACCCGCAACAACCAACAGTACAGGATGTGACCTTCTGAATCCTTCATTACCCTGATACTTTGCAGGAATCAACAGCGACTATAGAGAACAATTATAAATGCAGTATGGTGCTCAACAAATAATTCCCACTCACAATATAAAGTATCTCACAGCTGTTTGCTTATTTTAACCTTGTTGACAATATAAATAAGTTAGAGCTTACTTGCGTTTCAAGACCCAGAGTTACTATCCGATGACATCTCGCCATTAACACAGCCCATTGGAACCTGAGAACCTGCATGTCACAGATCAATCCAGCTTTAATTTGCCCAAGCCAGGCTAAGTTACCTGCTTTACCAATAAAACTTTTAAACTGCGTCCAGGTAAATGAAGTCCAATACAGTCAACTGGGAAAATTGTATAAACAAAAGAATCCTATTCAAACACTGCTGGTTCTATAGAAAAAAAAAACCCTCTAATGAAATTAAGCATTGAAATACAGTTTACCAAGGCAACGTCACAGCAACAAGCTGTGGAAAATTGATGAATGCACTGCAACATCAAATCAACGATAGTCCTTTATCATGCATGAATGTAAAACATCTTATGAATAAACTGCATCCAAAAGATTACCCTCTTTAATTATATATTTAATAGAATGAGCTAAGTAAACCAACAATCTATATCATGATCCAATAAGAATCAAGAGATTTCATCAACTCCTTAACCTGTTTGAGATATGATAAGACAAAAGCAAACCCTCTAATTACGTCTGTCTCATCAGACACTTCTTAGACAATTCTATTTGCTCAACAAACACTTGTGCATATAGTATACCTCTTTCTTTCTTTCTGCACCAAAGGCATGTGTCACCCATCTTGCTTGCTATCTGGTGCATTAATGGAAAAAAGTAGTTAAAAAAATTAGTTAGATGTTCCAACATCAACCCAGGGAAAATTCATCTCAACAAGAAGGGGAAAAAGTAAATCTTGAATCATCCAAACTATTTAATAAAGACGTTAGCAAGTCAAGAAATATTTTTTCTATATAAAGAAATAAAGAAGAGGCAAGGCAAGTAAATTCAAAACAACCAAGCATACAATAAAATTCAAGGTGGGACTAAGCACCCCAAGACACATGCACTTGTAGGCATGTGTGCATGTGCACAACTCCCCACAACACATTCCAAGATATTAGACAAAAATCTGTTGTTTGTAACTTAGGAAGCAACAGTTTATCAGAATTTACAAAGGGCACACACAATTCAATTAGTTTATTTGAATGTAGAATACCTGCAAATATCGCAGAAAGAACCAATAGTGGATGGAGATGATTATGGTACTCACAAAAGGGCTAAAATTAAAAGTATTGTTATAACAAGGGTAAATGGTTTTTCTCTTTTTTCTCAAGTTCACAAGTAATATTACAGTGATATACCACCCAACTGATTTGGCATTCCCTCTTATCAATTAACTGCAGTTCTTATATTGGGAAGGAGAGTAAGTTCTATTTAAGGGTTGTATTTTTTTGTTATGAGAAACAAGATTCTAAATTCATGAGAAAGAAAAAAGTACAAAATGGTGAATACTGAATAAGACATCTACCAAATGGAAAGGGAAAAAAGATAATGCAATGAAGGTCTGATGATTACAAATGACATTCCAATTCTGTTGTAATAACGAGAGGGGAAATCAGAAACTCCTTTGCTAGAAGAAGTGAAGATTTGGCCCCTAGTCTAACTACCACACATAAATCCATCCTGAATTCATCTTGCTAGACGCAGAAGTATATGGTAAGTCAACACAATTTATGTAACTACCTGAATGAATCATCTGGCTAATGGCATAACAGAAAGTAGATTTAGCTATAACTTTTTTCACGTTGCTACTACTACTCAAGTCAATGTACACCTCTAAGAATTCTATCACCATATGAAAACCAACATTTCAAAACAGAAAATTAAACTTATTAGAAATTTTCAGCAATATATGGACATAAACATCCAACACAAGAATCAACATAATTGATTACAGATGGGGAGTTACCAGAACCTAAAAAGAGGTGAATGTGATCAACACTTGTCAATGCAACCAGATTTGATGTTGTGGAAATGATCATACACTGACAATAAATCCTTCTGTCTNCCAGATTTGACGTTGTGGAAATGATCATACACTGACAATAAATCCTTCTGTCTTATTTCCACTATATAAGATGGGACCTTGTAGATTTCAAATTCTCCACCATTGTGTCTATCCACTCTTAGAGGGATAATTCTACTGAAATGAATCTAGAGCAATGATGAAGATTAATCACAACCAAATTAGAATACTAGAATCAAAGGAATCATGAATCTAACAGATTTTACCTTGGATTGTGGCCATATTGGTAACCATCTAGAATTTATTTGCATTATTTGCACCTCAGCATTTTACAGCTACAAGTGGGATCTCTCAGGGAGCTTTACTGAATCAGATTTATCTCCAGAAACTTTGTTCTCTCCAGCTTCTTGAGCATCAAAAGTAGTCTCTGAAAAACATTCCTTTCTCTCTCTCTAGGAATTAACAGATGCTCCAAGGAATTAACCCCAGAGTGAACATCCTGCAAAACAACAATATACGGAACTGTGAAAAATCAGTTGGACCAGCACAAGATGGCAAGTTAACCTTTCCTTCTACGGAAGTAGCAATATTGCTAACTGAATAAGCAGTCCCAAGGCATTATTCTTGATCCGGCTTACCACATAAAAGGTAACAGGGTGCCGAAGTGAAGAAGATTGCTGGTTTAGGATGAAAGATGAAGTAGACCGCCGTGGTAGAAATACAATGGGATACGGGGATGGACATTTGCCATGGAGAAACAAGAGTTTGAAAGCTGGCATTGCCACCAAAGGGGGATAGAGCAAAAAAGTGGCAACTCCCTTTGGATGGTATAATAGCAATCCACTGATAGTAATGACAAAAGCACATGTCTTGGATGATCTGCCAAATAAAACTCGGTAATCCCAACAATATTGCACAAACTTAGACCATTTGGAAAGGAAGAGAAGAAAATAATGAATACTGAGAAACGGATGTCTACTAACAGCAGTTGTCATTTCATGATAGAAATTATAAAGATGCACATAAGAAGAGCCCAGTCCTAGGTTTGAGTGGCTGCACTATTATGTATCCAAGATGGGTATGATGTAGAAAATATTTATGCTATTTTCATGCACTGAAGCAGGCATAGAAGGGTACCACTTGATCGAAACATAATGCTGATATCTGACTGGTATTACAGCTCTAAATTGTGATATTACTGCTCCAGAATCAACATCCTTAACATAAATCTGCATTCAACCATCATAACAAGAAAAACATAACATCCAAAAAGACAAAGTAATAGTGGTTTTCAGCTGAGGCATGAAAACCTATGTATACATCTACTACTTTTCGACCTTAAAACTTTCAACCATAAATTTCACTTTTTTTCCTTGTTAAATTTTGACTTCATTCAATCAACAATTAAACAAAAAAGCTTCATTTGTTTCAATAGAATCCAAATAAGGAAATGACTTTTAGCCTCAGCCATTGGTATTGCCAGCATATTACCATGAATAAATGTTAATCACCCTATATAAAAGACTTGCACAACATGAAATATGAACTCAACATAAAAAGGTTAAAGGAGTCATCCATCTTACAAGATGGAAGTTATTTTTATGCATGCAGCAAGGCAAAGCAATCATGGCATTCTAACTCCATTAAAAATCAAATTTTCCAAAAATAAAACGAGTACAACAAAAAGGTCGAGGCAAAACTTTTGATTACAATTTATAAGCATTGTAAAATTACCTGCATTTATCATAGGTTCAATGGTAAAGATCTGCCCTGCCTTCATAACACCAACAGCTTTATTTCCTGCTAAGGTTAAGGTCATACAGAGAGGACAAAGGAAAAATACAAAGTGGGTAAGAAGAGATTGAAATTGTAATATCACAAAAATATGAGTCAGTTCACTCTATACTTTGCATTCCTCATTTTGTTAAGAGGCAAATTTTTAATGCAAACGAACATTCAAATGGAAAAGTTGCTTCTTTAAGGATACTTGCATAATGAAGAATCTTTTTTGCGCAATGGAAGAGCTCTCCAATACCATGACCACGATAAGACTTCGCTTCTCATTTGGAATAAAGAATAAGAGAAACAACAAATAACCAGGATTCCAGGTTACTACAGAGAACCCTGATATTGAAGGATGTTCTTTCCAACAGGTTTGAGATACATATTCTCAACTACAAAAATACGCTAATGCGGATGAGGTTGACAGGGGTCATCCAAGACCTTAGATAGTTAGGTTTTTCACACAGCTATCAAGTTCAATTCGGCGACAAGTGTGATCAATCCTAGTTTTCTTCAAGTCTTCATTATTGGTGTCTTTGTTGAAGAGGAAGTCTCATCTCTATTTTTGTTTTAGTGCATATCCAAGAGATCCTAGATTAGACAATGATGAAAACTATGCATGCAACTTATAAGAAGACAGATGTACTTCACGCTAACATGATTTCAAAAGGAAAATATTAATGAGTAACTTACTCAACAAGCGTCTCTCATTCTCTCAATTTGCTCTGAAGTTTTCACCTTCAAAAGATACGTGAATTTGAAAAGAAACATAAATAAAAATACTGGAAGGAAAAAATATTTTGAAGATGAACCAGTTCCTATGCAATAGTCAAGAATTCTTGACGATGTCGAGCTAGAATAACTTGTTCTTCCGGAATACTTTGATTCAAGGCCAAAGAATTTCCTACCGCTACCATATAGTATTCATCTCTATGGGGTGATAATAAAGCACCCGTATTAAGGTCATATCCATCTGTCCAATGCCAAAATTATCCACCTTTATATCAATGGAAAAATTATAGGTCCTTTTTTATCTAAGGTTACCTCAACAACATGTTACAGATTACTAATGGGCTCTATATCCAGGATTCCCTAAAAGGTAAAACACATAAAGAAAAGTCTGTTACAAGAAGAAAAGACATCAAAAAACATAGAAGAAACTTCAATAGAAACAGGGGGAAGGCATGGACACAGCAGTATGACATATCCACGAAAACGGAATATTAAAATAAGTTGTCCACTCAATAGCATATGTCGAGTATACCCATGATGATTGACAATTGAGTGCAAAACCACGGACTAAAGTGAACATGTATGTACTAGACTAGAGCTGCTTATAGACCAATGTCAAAACAAGATATACATAAGCTGGGCCTTCACATCCAAACAAAAATGGGTTAGTAACTCAGCAACTGCCCAAGTAGGTTGTTCAATGTTGATCATGTATTGCACACTTTTTTGATATAGCATATAGCCTCAGTGTCCCGTGCAAGAATAAAAAGCAGTTAGCATTTAAAGACTATATATAGCTGAAGCTAAGTAATAAGCATAGAAGATTAGTACATTTAAGAAACACACACATCCAGATATTGAGTCATTTGTTGGTCTCATGGACCTTATAAAAATGAAGAAGAAAACAAAAA